ATAGATATTACTCTCACTGAGCATGAATACTGCTCACCTAATCAGCAGTTTGTTGACTGCCACGCATTAGTGACTAGTGCTTGCAAGAAAGTAAACGGCCACTCGGACTGCTTCCGAAGAGGTGACAAACACACATCGAAAAGGCGCTGGGTGCTAACTGAAATTATGCGGCCTAGTTCCGAAGACCCTGGCGGAGCAACATACCAGTAGTATCACTAACACTGGTTACACACACTGATAGCTGGAGCGATTTTGGTATTTAGGTATAACATTGAAATTAAAGGGAACAAAGGATGGCCTTCCGTCGGCGTAAAGGACATGCGTGGGTAGTTTTAAATCAAGATAGTAAACATCTGAAATCGTACTTTGTTAAGCCGATTTTATTAAGATAAAGTATTAATACTGCGAGTTACGAAAAACTAAAAATTTAATCATTTTTTTAAAGATACACAATTCGAATCTCTTTTTTAGATCTAATTTTCAGGTTTCTTTCATTTTCTAGGTCTCGTGTCACCCGGGGGTCCGTCAGCTGTGATCGATCCATCATTCCAGCGTGTTGGTCATTTAACAGTTAACATTGGCAGTGTGAATAAAACAAAATTCGCGCTTTCGGATACGCTTTATCCGCTTGATGGTTTGGTGGAAATGAAAGTTCGTTGCTACGCTGAAAACTGTGGCACAGTTGGCTACAGAGGATTTCTAGTATGTTTTATTCATTTTTATAAAAATTCAACGTTTTCGAGACAAATTACACTGAATTGTTCAAATTTACTAGCATACAACTTTGTTAGGAAGCAGGTAACTCATCAGAAATCAATTAACCCATGGCCATATTTTTTCCTCACTCCATCAACTGTTGTTTTTGCCATCGTTGCTGCCTGCGATTTTTCTGAGCTGTGTTATTTGGGTTGTAAAAATTCTAAAGAGTTTTTTTTTTTAGAGCCTATATCAGCCTGTTGAAAAAATTGCTTCATGGACACGCTTCTGGTGTGTGCTTTGGGATGGACAGCTACGATTCTGGCGTTATCCAGAAGATGAAAGCACAAAGGTAGAGTTTCTAATTCTTTTTTTTAACAGGCCTGACAAAGGGATTTGGACTGTTTTCCTCCAGTAGTTCAACGACTCCACCCCACCAGAACTCTCCTCCGAATACGTTCATTCGTTTCGACGGTAAACTGGCATATTTCAGGAAGTCGATCTCGCCATTAGCCCTCTTGAAAACAGCTCTCGAAAAAGGGCGGCATTAGCAGCTTTGCCAGCGAATAGTTGCTACTGTTGGCATTCGTTACTGCTTGGGTTGTTTCCAGAGTGCTCCCATCCCTCTCCACCCCTTCTCTTCTAATATAGAGAACGAATAGGGAAGGAGCCTCAATTTTAGCTTTAATTTTTGATCCTATCATTTAATGCTTGCAAATGATTCCCTCAAGAACAAGAATATTAATCTTGTTGAATTCGGCAAGGATCTGCGCTGGTAGAGAATCAGCTATTTTTATGTGTTTTTTGCAGCAATGCAGTGCGAAAAAAGCATATTGACGAGAGGTTGTCTGTGTGTGTGCGTGTGTGTGTTTGTGTGTGTGTGTCTGTGTGTGCGCTGTGCGTCTACCGATTTTTCATCTCGAGACCGGCAAAAGCTACGGGGCTGAGACTTTGGAGACTTAATCTGCAT